CGCCGTTGTTACAGCTCTGGCGTTCTTATACAACACAATCGATGTGCGATCTCACGGCATGAATCCACTGTTAGTCCCTTTGTTCCTGTATTTCTGATCTGCTGCTGCGTTCTGCTATATTCCTTCGCGCGCGGCGTCCCTCTCGCCGCGACGCGACAATTTCCTTCCTACTGCACCACACCCCCAGTCAACCCATCTGACCTCTTTGTATTTATTACAGTTTTGTGTTGCTCTCCAGGAAGGAAACAAGATGTGACAGAGTTTATTATTTGAAAGGTTATCACAATTCTATTGTGATTTTCTTTCAGCCATAGCGTCCAATGTGCTCTTCGACAAACCGGTGACCGCGGTCGTATCCCATTCACGATTGTCTTCTGGCTCCTCACCCGTTGTCGCTACTCGCCATAACATTCTTGCGATAAACTGGAATGGTGATAAGTTAAAGTTGGTTTAATTAAAAAATTCAACGAGGTGGATTAACATGATGGCCTACCTGGGTATCAACACCTTACTCAAAACGCATCCCAAAGTCTAGAGCTTATTTTTTTAATTACAGAGCAGTGGTTGCTAATTGAAAATACGCCAGGAGAGGAGGTTTGCAGGGGTTTTAGGGGAAGGAGGTCATGGGAGAAGGGAAATAACCTAGACTTACAAAGGCGTCATAGGTTGGGCGATAAGGTCTTCTCTGTTGGGTGCCTTGAGGTAAGGTATGCACAGCCCGTCAGCTATTTTGCCGTTCACCCTTTTTGTAGTTCGCTGTCTATTAAAACACTTGCAAACTGATAGTTCCACGTTTTCGATATGTTCAGAAACCAATGTGCTTTCGTTGAGATTACTCAGGTGGCTGTGAAAGGGGCACGTAGGAGAGCAGCAAAGCTTGGTGACTGGCTCATTTGAAGCGCTGAAATGCGATTTGAAGCGGAGAATTTCCCTAGCGACCGAGAATGGCGATGGTTTTCTGCATATGGTTTCTACCCGTGTCCTTAACGAACTTGCCAACCAACTAAGACAACCATGAGGATCTTGAAGATTGCATGGGTAAGTGATGCCTGCTGTAGAGGCACTCATTTGGGCAATCCCCTTAAGTATTAAACTTACATTAAACCAATAGATATTCATAGCGTAGATTAGGACCAGCATAAATCCGAGCACTGGGAAGAATGGCGCCGTCTGAGGTCCAAGGTACACAGCTCCATATAGGGTACCGTACAGTAGTTTACATGGATACCAGTACAATCGACACAGAACCCTGAAGTACTTTGTTGGTCAAAGGAAACGAAAATTGAAGGAAGGCAAATGCCTTCTTCTGAACTCGCACATTTGCGATTGCATAGCCCATGAAGTAAATATGACGCAAACTTCAGTAATATTGCTTTCAGACAAATATATTTTCTAGCTATGATGGCTAAGGCTGCCTTGGTGTAGTGGCAAATGGCACACTATCACCTACGCATGATCCTGGGTTCGAATTCCAAATCGATATCAGCCTAAACCCACCGAGTCTTCCATTTTTCCGGGGATAAATTGGTACCAGACTCGTCCGAGAGGGTAAACTGTCTTGTACACGGGCTGGCCACCCTGATTCTTTGAATAGACCACATACACATTCAATAAGCCACTACGACTCTGACTGGGAGTGTCGGATCGGGGCGCATCCGTCAGATGGGATTGATCAACACCGAAAACTTCATGTTCTTATCCTTTATGAAAATAAGAATAAAAGATCAGTCCTTAGGGTTATCTAGTCAAATTTCAGATTTTACACGATACATCTCTTC